AGGTTTAAACGTTAAACACATTTCTTCTTGCATATAGTTTAATTTTTGCTTGATGCAACGTGCATAAAGTTAAAAGATTAAAACTAAATAAAAGTTTTAACAGGAGACGTTTTCATCTGATTCAGTTTATATGATGCAGAAAAAATAGAACTGGGCTGGAAGGTCTTTGTCTTTATTACTCAGGTTGTGTATCATGCTTTTAAAGAGTAACTAAGTAACTAATTACTTTTGAAAATAAGTAACTTTAAACGTGTTTTTCTGCCGTCATTATGAAGTTCAGCAGAGCAGCCAAAAAAACTGGAAACATAATTTAAAAGCACTAAATCGAGGTCCTGTAAAATATTCATAATATGAAGGTAAAACTTTGGATTTATTAAATATAATAAAGTTATTAATCTAAAAAAATCAGCTGATTCTGAGGGTCAGGTGAACCAATGAGGACCTGTCTGTGTTTGTGTTGGGCGTGAGAGAGGACGGGCAGAGGATCATCAGGCCAAAGATGAGAGGTCAGGAGGTCACCAGCGTCCTACAGGACACGACGATTCCAACGAGCTCGTGTTCACAAAATCAGACGAAGCTTCAGATGTTGAGAAGAGTCGAGAATGTCTTCAGTCAACTTCCAACCTCAGAAAACGAAAATTTAAGAAGTCGGGAAGTTTTCCCGGCTCGGACTTCAGAACTTCAACGATTTGTTTTTAATGACTGGAGCGTCACAGCCCGACATTTAGTGTCGTTACGAACTGTTTGAGTTCGTTTGGCTTCACTCGGTTCTCCTTCAATCATTCCCTCGACCTCCTGAAACTGAAGGACAGCGAGGAGGAAGAGGAGCTGATCTGTGCGACTGTATCCAGAGCCTCATGGCCTCTTTGTGAGCTCGTCTGTTGGGGATGTGCAGCCCTGACTTCCTGATTAGGACCCGCCTAAATAAAAGCTGCTCTCCTCCTCCTCATCATCTCCACACGCCGGGACGCGGGAAACCTCGTACAGGGGCGGAGTCACTGATGGTGTTTAAAGTTTAATAGTTGATGGACTGAGCAGATCGGATAAATGGATTTATCGGATAAAGATCTGGGAAGTTTCCTGATCACTTAGCTCACCTTTCCGTGACGCGGAGCTCCACCACGAAGTCGGTCTGTGAGGAAGTTCTTCGTTAATAAAATCGACTCAAACGAAAAGATAAACGTTTCTGATGTTCGGTGAATCTCGCTGTGATGTTTCACGTAATGCTGGAAATATTAAACATCAAACTCTTAAAGGATTCAGACTCAAAGACTTTTATTTTTTTAAGGAATGTTTGCAGGAAAGAAAAGCTTACAAAGTACGAGCACGCCACTTTCTAACCGCCAAACCTCGTGATCAGTCCCATGACAAAGAAAGCACTCAAAGATACGCGGTGGTCCCCTCGCCCGGACAATAAATACGTCACCACCATCGCTCCTCTGAAGTCATCGACATCTAACACCAGAAACTGGCGCCGTCATCGATGCTGTGACACCGCTGCCCGACTCGACGTTCCCGAGGAGCCGACCGTCACAAACGAATTTACCTGAAAGTCCTGAACCCGCCGGAGCGGTCACGGCCGGTACTGTCGGTACTGCGACTGTGAAGCCAGAGGGTTTCCAAAGCGCAGCGGCGCCGTCGACCCGCCAAACGCAGTTCTGTAGCTCTGAGAGGACGGCCCCACGCCCAGTCCGAGCCCGACCCCCAGACCCTGTGTGCCCAGTCCCATCCCGCCACCAGGCCGCGCCAGGCCCTGATTCAGCATCCCCGTGTAGGGGGTCGACCCGTAGGAGAGTCCCAGGCCGCCGTACGGCCTGTGGGTGTGGTGTCCCAAAGCGGCGAGGACCATCGGCTGCACGTTCCTCCCCGGAGTGTCGAAGGAGAACTCCGGAGGGGGGCTGGTGGGTTTGGAGGGGGTGGAGGTCAGCGGGTCGAACTCTCCTCCTGAGGACAAGAGCAGAGGAGGCAGCGAGGAGGCGAGGGCGGCGTAGCCATCGGCAGCACCCAGCGGGGAGGCAGCGGGCGAGGAGGACGAGGAGGAGGAGAGGGCCCCGGTGAGGAGGGGCCGGGACCAGTCGTCTTTGAAGATCTGCACGGTCAGCGTGGAGACGAGCGGCAGCAGCCGGTTGGTGACGTGAGCCAGAACCAGCTGCTCGTTGGCGTCGCGGCGGATCCGGACGTGGGCGGAGCCAGCCTGAAACACAAGAACAGAGAGAGAGAAGAG